TGCTGAATCCTGTTGCTCAGTTTCACTACCAATGTATTAAGTGAGGATTTCTTTTTATTTATCTAATTCGGTGTTCAGGCTTTCAGAATCTGAGGCTTGATATCTTTCATTGGTTCTACAAAGTTTGTGGTTATTGTCTTTTGAAACATTGCCTCTTCGCCACTGTTTCTGTTACCTTCTCATGAAACTCTGATCTGGTAATGTATTAGATCTTCTCACTTTAACCCCATGTCTCTTAACAATTTTCATACTTTTTACCTCTGTTTCCCTGTGCTGCATTTACATCTATTTTTCATTTCAAAAATAGTACTTTTTGGCTCCTTATCAAATCTGTCTGGTGTATTTTGATAGTCTCTTATGTCTTCATGACATATTCAATTACCTCATTTATTGCTGTAAATACTTTTATGTAAACTCATATTCTGTGTTAATATTTTTAGTGTCTGTGATCTTTGCAGATCTGATGTGACAGTTGATGATTTCTTTTGATTTTCATTAATGGCAGCTAATTTCTTCACGAGTTTGGTGAGTTTTGAGGCTGAGCTCATATTCCTTAGAACTTTATCTGTGATAATTCTTTGAGACCTAGGTTCAAATAAGGAGTTGCGTTTGTTTCTGTTGGGTGCCTGGGAGTACTCCCAAGCTGGTGTCACTTTAAGTACATTGCTGGCTTTGGAGCTTCCCACCTAGTGTGACTTTTGACTTGCTAGCAGAAATTCTCAGGGGACAATTCTTTCCAGCTCCATCCAGAGCCAAGGTGGAGGCAGACCGCCCCTCCCCAGACCCCCTGAGGGACAGGACCTTTCACCCTGGTTCAGTTTTCAGAGGGTTGGCTTCGATGGTCTTGGCTTACGTGAGGGTGTCCCAGTCATCTTCTCACCCTGCCTGTCCCTGGCTCCTGCATGACCCCTTGTAACCTGAGTTAGGCCAGCAAGAACTGGCCTGTGACCTCCACTTCGGTTCTCCTTCCTGGATTTGTGCTTTCTCAAGGCTTCTGGCCTCCTAGGGATCCCTTGTTCTGATGCCAGTTCAGTCGTGCTTTACAAAAATTATTCTAATTGATGTCCTCTCCAACATCGTAAGTCATCCTAGGAGAGCTGTTATAATACTGCCAAGGACACTGGTTGGTAACTGCTTCCTGTTTCCGCTTCCTCTTCTCTCAGTGGAGAAGCCAACAGAACCGGGACTTAATTCATTTCTTAAAATAAATGGATCAATGATTTTTATCTTGTTCTCAGCATTCTTTGTGTTATACTGTCATTATGCTACTGTGTACTCTGAGGGCAGACTAATGTAACACTCCTCGGATTAGACCGGGTTACTAACATAAGTCTGTTTCATAAGACCTTTTAAAAAATGTGGAATTTGTGGGCCTGTTGGGAGTTTTCAGTTTCCCTGTGTGATTCAGAAAGCCCACAGTAAGCTGCAGCTTGTCATTTTGCTGAGGCACCAATATGAACGGACTCCGCAGGGAGGCTTATATTGGGAACGAATCATTTGGCTTCATGAATGTGCCTAGCCCGCCACCATCATCCTCGTCCCATCGCAGTGTGTTGATCTCCTCTTCTTGATATATGCTACAAAGTAAGCCTTTTGAAATTATAGTACAGAAAGTAATTTTCCTGTGTGTAAAAAATGATCAGCAAGTAAAAACGATAAATTTTGCAAAAAGTCAAGGAGGCGCTTAGGTTGTGGTGTACATAGACGTGCAGGAAACACAGCTCCCAGTGGAAATGTGATTCGAGAGGACGCCAGGAGCCTGCACAAATTTTCCACATTCTTGAGTAGGGGAATTCTGGAAGAATCGAGAGTGCCCTCCCATGAGGTTTTCAAGAGCCTACTACATATTAATAAATAGCTTTGTGAAAAATAAAGTTAGGCAGAAATGCTAAATTTAAAAAGAGTCTGGACACTTTGGCAGTTGTTTACAAAACTAAACATACTCTTATCATATAGTCCAGCAGTTGAGTTCCCTAGCATTTACCCAAAGGAGCTGAAGCCATATCTACACAAAACCCCCGCACAAGGATGTTTACAGTAGCTTTATTCATAATGGCCCAAACTTGGAAGCAACCTAGATGTCCTTCAGTAGGCGAACAGATAAACAAACTGGTACATCCAGACAATGGAATATTATTCAGTAATAAAAATCAATGAGCTATCAAGCCATGGAAAGACAGGAATGAATCTTAAATGCATCATACTAAGTGAAAGAAGCCAATCTGAAAAGGCTAGTACCATGCGATTCCAACTATACGATTTGGTGGAAAAGGAAAAACTGTGGAGACAGTAAAAAGATCAGTAGATGCTGGGGCTAGTGGGGAGGGAGAAACGAACAAGCAGAACACAGAATACTTTTAGGGCAGTGAAAATATTCTGTATACAATGGGCACTGATATGTTATGGTGGATACATGTCATTATGTATTTGTCCAAACCCATAGAACGTACAGCACCAAGAGTGAACCTTACGTAAACTATGGATGTTGGAGGATGATGTGTCCATTTAGTTTCATTGATTGTAACAAACACACCACGTGGGCGGGGCTTATTAATTTAAAAAAGGAAAAAGAGACTGTAGAATGTAATGAGCTGGTACCTTAGCTGCTTCTTCGGAGTAGCTGTTACCTACTAAGAAAAACAATTCACCCAAAGTCCCACATGGGACAGAGGCCAAAGTACGGCTCCTCCGGGTGACCCTGCCTGGCTGCAGAGTGAGCGGAGGCCCTGGGAGGGAAGCATCTCGGGGCTCGGGGAGTATGGAATGACGCGAGAGCCTTCTCCCACAGGCCTGGGACATCAGGACATCTCCCCTGCAGAGGGGCAAAAGGGGACCAGGAAAGGGGTTCAGGCCATCTGGCATTTCCTGCCTTCCCAAGGGTGGCAGGGGCGGCTTCCTGGGAAGGCCTGTGTGCTTGGCAAATGGCTGCACCTCTGGGAGCATCCCAGCGAGATGGAGAGTCTGGACGGGCAGTGAGGAGACTCCACCTCTGGCAGCTCTTGCTTCTTAGCAAAAAGCAGGACCTACACATAGGGGCACACTAGCATATACAAGAGCAAGTGCCCAGATATGGACGGATGGACAGATGTGCACAGATGCGCACATGAGGCAACCTCTCCCGCACGGAGTCCACATCCAGGACAGGAACACACGAATGATCAGGGAAGCTGCCATTCTGGAAAACAAGCTGCTGAAAAACACGCGCTGTCAGTGGCCTGAGGAGTGAACTGTTCTAACATGTGTCCCCTGGGAATGCTCCAGCCTTCCGGAGCAATCAGCCCTCCCCCATCTCTGTCCGCTGCACGTGGTGGAGCGCTGCCTGCCCCTGACACTCTGGCGGATGCACGTGTGCTCCCCTCGCTCTGCCCGAGGGCCTTCCCCCTACCCAGGGCAGGCTGCAGTTCATCGCTGTCAGTGGATGACACTCAAGTCCCCCACGTGACACTGGAGGGCTTTGGTGGCAGGAAGGTGCTGCCGGTCGCTGCCCGAGAGGGGCAATAATAACAGGAGGCCTGAAGGAGTGGAACCATGTTGCACCAGAGCAGCCTTTGTCTCTCTCCAGCCCCACAGCTTTGCCCTCTGGACTTGGCGCCTGGCTCAGTGTTGCACAAGCCGCCGAGAGAAACGGGCGGCAGGGCGGGCTTTTCAGTAGTCTGGGACACTTCTGCCTCGAGGCTGCACATGGAAGAGGATCTTCTAAGTAGAAACAGGCCTGTGTTGACAGATGGAATCCAACTGGATGTGGGAAAAAGCTCAACAGAGGGCTCCAAGCAAACAAAAAAATCAACCCAAACAACACCTTTTTAGTGTAACAAGGACTTAAAAATGATTTTGAAAGACGTCTGGTACTAATAGTTTAAAAAGTTAGTTTAAAAACTCCTCTGTTGCTTGTGTTAAGAAGCAGGAAGGCTTTCTATACTCCCATTCTTTTAAAATCCCCTACTTTTGTAATTCTTTTTTATTTTTTTTTAATTGAAGTATAGTCAGTTACAATGTGTCAGTTTCTGGTGTGCAGCACAATGTCCCAGTCATACATATATGTACATATATTCGTTTTCATATTCTTTATTCATTAAAGGTTATTACAAGATATTGAATATAGTGCTATACAGAAGAACTTTGTTTTGTATCCATTTTTATATATAGTAGTAGTTAATATTTGCAAATCTTGAACTCCCAAATTTGTCCCTTCCTACCCTCTTCCCCCCGATAACCATAAGATTGTTTACTATGTCTGAGAGTCTGTTTCTGTAAAATCCTCTACTTTTGAACATAATAGAATTATTTTCTTTTAAAATTATTTTACTGAACTGCTTTGCAACTGTGATAGACAGAATAATGGCCCCCAAAGATGTTCACATCCTAATCACTGGAACCTGTGAATACGGTACCTCACATGGCAAAAGAGACTCTACAGTTGTGACCAAGTTAAGGATTTTGAGAGGAAGAGATTATCCTGGATTAGCCAAGTGGGTCTGGTGTAATTACAGTAGTCCTTATAAGAGAGAGGCAGGAGGGTCAAAGTCAGAAGAGGAGATGTGAGGACAGAGCAAAAGTTGGACTGAGGTATTGAAGATGGAGGAAGGGCCTACAAGCCAAGGAATCTAGGTGGCCTCTAGAAGCTGAAAAATGTCAGGACATGTGTTATCTTCTGCAGTCTCCAGAAGGAATGAAGGCTTATTTTGATTTTAGGATTTCTGACCCCCAGAACTGTTAGATAATAGATTTGTTCTAAGCCACTAAGTTTGTGTTAAATTTGTTTCAGCAGCAATAAAAATTAATCCAACCTATTGTGATGAGTCAGATCCTGTGGGCTAGCTTGAAGAAGGACTGATTTATTGACTAATAAATTAATGGCTCCATATGGACCTTCGTAGAGTTTCTTTGGCCCTGCTTCTTTGTTTGGGTGAGCTTATGGTATGAATTGTGCACATACTTTTCACTTTGCTAAATGCAAACTCCATGCTGAGAAGTTTAAATCTATCTGTATCTAATTACAGGGATCTTCACCCATCTTTGCCGGGGATTATCCTACTGTATCGGTTTTTCAGGACTGCCAAAAACAAAGAACCACAGACTGGGTTGCTCAAACAGCAGAAATGTATTTTGTCACAATTCTGGAGTCTGGACGTCCAAGAGCAAGGTGTTGGCAGGTTTGGTTTCTCCTGATCTTGGCTTGCAAGCAGCCACCTTGTTGCTGTGTTTGCATGTGGTCTTTTCTCTATGCACACACCTGCCATGGTCTCTTTGTGTCCAAATTTCCTCTTCTTGTGAGAATACCAGTCGGGTTAGATTAGGGCTCATCCTAAAATTACCTGAAAGTTAGTTTTACCTTAACCTTTACTTTTAAATTTTATTAAAATTTAATGAAAAACTTAATTACCTTTTTAAAAGCTCCATTTCTAGTCATATTCTGGGTTACTAAGGGTTAAGGCTTCAACATATGAATTTGGTGGGGGGGGCACATTTCAGCCCATAATATCCATACTGGCTACATGTAGGGGAGGGTCTGTGCCAGCCAAGCAAGTAAGTCTGTGCACACTACTTGAGTGACATGTCAGGACTACTCTCTATAATTCCATGCTTCAGTCCATTTTGGTACGCTCAAGAGTACCACACTGTGAGCCAGCTGGAACTGTATCACTTTGCCACCCTGTGGGCCACAAGAAAATGTGTTTCAGAGACCATTATGCTAAGACAAGGTCAGGCCAGCTCTGGAGTGACAGAATCTATCTCAGAAACATCTCATGAGGTTGGGAAGGGAAGGGGGATGAGGGAAGAGCAATACACATGCAGTTAGATCCCTACTTCAAACCGTAATCTTTACACATACACTACGTGGGTTACAGATCTAAATGTGAAAAATTATTAAAGAAAATAAAAGACAATGTCTACATGATCTTAAAGTAGAGAAAACCTAAAAAAGAACATATAAAGCCCAAACAATAAAGAAAAAGATAGACATATTCAAATGCTTCAAAATTTAAAACTGTACAGAAAAATCTACAAATTTCTGTTGGCAAAAGATTTAAAAACAGACTGGGAGGTTCGTTTTATACTAGGAATTATTATTCAAAACACACAATAAGTAAAGTAAAAATTTAAAAAGAAATGAATTAATTGTCCAAGAAGGAAATGTGAATGGTCAATAAGTAAGAAAGTAAACAAAAAAAAAAGATGCTCAAACTCAGAGAGAGCAAATAAAAAGAACAAATAAAATTTCCTATCCATTGTTTTCATAAAATTAAGTGGTCAGGCGCTCTCAACTGTTGGCAAGGTTGTAGGGGAAACAGTAAATTTTTGCTGGAAATGTGAATTAATGAAGGCAACTTGGAGAGAGTTCAGTGCATTTAGGAAAATGCATTTGCCCTGTGTCCTAGAATTTATGCTTCAGGATACACAATGGATAACCTTCTGCGTAGTTTCAAAAGCATCTTATGCACAAAGGTGTCTGTTACACCACTGTTTGTAACAGTAGGAAAAAAGGAAATGACTGAAACATCCCTCAGTATAGGGATAAACAGAGTGTGGTATTCTCCTGTGATGGAATAGCATACAACAATTTAAAACAATAAATAAAGCTGATGTATATCAGCATTAACAGTTATTAAAAACATAAGGTAGAGTGTAAAAAGCAAGATACAGATTGATGGGATATATACACATAATGTACTTGGATTTTAAAAAACAAAACCTTACAAAGTGTATGTGTGTGTATCTGTGTTTTAACAGATGCGTATCTACCTAGAAAAAAATTTTTTAGAGAAATAGAATGATACACGATACATGGTCATTTCAGTCTCTGGGGGAGTGTGGGGAGGAATGGGTTGAGAGTTGGTGGTTTAAGGGATGTTAGCTAGTATTTACCCTTGACTCACCCCTTCCCTTTCCCCCTCTCCTTCCCTCCCTCCTTCGTTCCTTCCTTCCTTTCTTTTTTTCTTCCAAAAAAATAGACAAGAAATAGATATGACCAAAAAAGTTCACCTTAATTCATTCTAAATTATAGGAATATAGAAGTTTAAGTTATTCCTTTATTTTACTATAATTTTTAAATCTCAGAAAGCAGAAACCAGGAAACCAGAAATAAAACAAG